GTCGGTTTTGACCCGCACCCGACCAAAACCGACCCGCGAGCAGCCCTAATTATATCAACTAAGTAATCCTTATTGTAACCGAAGCAAGTGTGCTGACAATTTCTTGGTTTCTCAAAACCCAGACAAAAAAGGAGAACTTTTTTTTACAATCCCGGATATATGATAGATAACATATAATATTTTTATAATACTTAAGGTCACTCAATATTTTCACAGAGAAAATTCGATTCAAACAAATTTCACCCGACTTAAAGAAATTTCGTCAAACTCAAAGAAATTTTGGCCCTGACACAGAGAAATTTCGATTTTCACAGATAAATTTCGAAATTCCTCTAGTATATTCACAGAGAAATTTTATCAAGAGACCTTAGTTAATAAAAAAAAAAATATCTTGGATCTCTCATACTACACAAAGGGGGTGTTTGTTTCAGCTTTTCAGAGCCAACTTATGACTTTTAGCTTTGAAAAAGTTATTTTGGACTGTTTGGTTAAACTTATTTCAAACAGCTTCTGATTCTAACAGCTTATTTTAATTCAAAAAAACTGATTCTGAGAAGCTGCTCACCCCTTGCTTCTGATTATCAGCTTCTGCTGTGGATATGTTAATTTATGGTTATACTCTTAAATTTTTTTATTTTTTATTTTTTTAAAAATAGAAAAATACTCAAATGGACTATAGATTATTATTATTATTTTTTATGAGAAATGTAGACAAACAAAAAATAAAAATTAATTGAAAAAGCTATTTCACAGCTTATTTAACAAACACTACTCAGCAACTTAAATCTATAATCCAACAGCTACACTAAGCAGATTAACAACTTCTGATTAAAGTCATAATCTATAATCTGCTAAGCTATAATCTATAAGCTGTTTTAACAGCTACACCAAACGGGGCAGTTGGAGAGTGATGTTTCACTAATTTTTTCAAAAAAAAAACTTTTTAAATATTTGTCCTAATTTTATTTTATTTTTTCTTCTTTCCTGAAAGTGATGATTAATGTGTTAGTAAATTCTTTTTTATCAATACACAAAAAAAAAAAAAAAGAAAGAAAAAAGAAAAAAGAAAAAAGGGAGAAGCCCTTTATATTAGGATAAATAATTTAGATCATTAGGGTGACCTACGATAGGTCCATCTTGACCCAACAAATTGATGCAATTAACAAAGCTAACTAGAGACAATCCATCAAATACAATCCATTTTAGGATTGATTTTAATTACCTAAACACAAACTTGAAAATCAAACTGACTTAGTTTGTTTTTCAAATTTTAAGACCTATAACCAAGTAAATCAATGCTACAATTCACAATTTTATGCACTCGTGAGAGGTTAGATTTCTCATCCACTTCAAGAAAAATAGTTGGGTTTTGTAGCCCGATTTTGGAGCTCAGTTTTGTAATTTAAATTGTTTCTTTTTTAAGATTTATTGCGTATAATTTTTATAGTAAAATATTAAGATTATCAGATATCATAAATCACATAATTAGATCTTTCAGCCCCTTCTCTGTCTCCTCACAAAGCTGACTGTTATTTTTGGGCTTGTGCTACTGCAAGCACTGGTGAGTTTTCTGTTTCTTTAATATACTCTTTCAGTAATTCCATCATTGGTCCTCATCTTCCAATCTGTAATCATATTTGGAATAGAGCTGTCCCCCCTAAGGTTTCTTTTTTCTATTGGTTGGCTTGGAAGAACAAAATTAAGTCAGCCGAATTTATGCATAGAATTGGTATTTTAGACCCTTCTGTCTCCATCAGTTGCACCTTCTGTGGCTATGACTGTGAATCTGCTTCCCATGTCTTGCTTTGCTGCCCCTTTTCTTGGCTGATCTGGTCTTCTATTATTCACGAATGAGGGCTTTCTTGGTGCATTCAAGATTCAGTTGATGGCCTTCTCCAATGGTGGATGAGTTTAAACTTCAAGCACTTTGATAGATTAATTTGGAGAGCTATCCCACTCATTGTTCTTTGGTCGCTGTGGAAATGTAGGAACGAATATATTTTCGAAGAGGCTCAACCAAAATTTTCAGATATGAGTGAATCTATTAAAATCAGAGTTGCACTATGGCTGAAAGCAACCATTAAGGACCTTCATTTCTCAGTTGATGACTTAACCTTCAATTGGAGACAAATCAAAGCTGGGTTTACAAATCATTAGATGGGCTGGCTGGTTGTCTCCAGAGCTTTATCATCTTTCAATTGCAATTTGGACTGCTAATCTGTTCTGGGTTGGAATAGCAGAGGGTTTTGTTCTGGTTTGAACTGCTAATTTGTCCTGGATTTGCATTTGTTTTGTTCTGGTTCAATCTGGATTTGTATCTGGTTTGTTTTGTGGATTGCCATCAGTGGCTGATTTGCATCTGGCTGGGCTGTTTGTCTATCTAGTTTATTTGTCTACCTGCAGATCAGCTGGGGTTGCTGATCTGGTTTTTTTGTTTTGGTATAATGCTCTGCTGGGGTTGCAGATCTGCTGAGGTTGGAGCATGTTCTCTTGCTGCAAATGTGTTCTCTTGCTGCTAATGGGGTTTTGCTGCTGATTGCTTTGTTAGAGCTTCTCTTCTTGCTGCAAATGTGTTCTGTTCTGGCTGTTGCTAATTGGACTTTATTGCTCCGTTGTAATCTTTTGTTTTCTCTGTTGGTTTCTCACCAACTAGGAGGTTGGAGCTTTGATTAGCTCCAAGCTCATTGATGTATCTTTCATTTTGTTGGTTTTAGCATCAATAAAGTCTTTCGTTTTGCCGATCAAAAAAAAAAAAAAAAAAACATAATTAGATCTTAAATGTAATCCAAATAAATAGTTATTTTTGTCTAGTCATATTTATTTTTTAAGTTTGGTTTATCTTAAGTTGGCCATCTCAACTTGAGAAAACCTTTGGGTTTGGTAAACTTATTTTGGAATCAATTTTGATAATTTAAACCATTTACTTTTTAGGATGTGTTGAGTAGAATATTCATACAAAAAATTAAGATGATTGGACATCGGTACCTGTATACTTGAATAAAATTTGTATTACAAAAAATGCATTCTTGAAATTATATTTGTTGTTCATTTTTAAAAAAAATAAATATGATTCAAACATATAACTACTGATATCTAATCATTTTGATTTTTTGCATGAATATTCTATTTAATGAATCTTAAAATATGAACGGTTTAAATTGTCGAAATTGGTCTCAAAATAAGCCTACCAAACCTAAACACTCTCTCAACAAATCTTAAAAAATAAATAATTCAGTTCAGCTAGCGTGCTCACCATGCCCAATTGTTTTTTCTCTAGTTAGATGGCCAGTTAGGGAGAATTCATCTCCAAAATTTTGAAAGGATCAAATTAGGTGGAACCGGACAACTCGACGATAGAATTAGGATTAATTACAATTGTCTTAGGTTGGTTCCAGCTGGTACAATTTTCTATATATAGAAATTAGGATTAATTAGATTTAGGTCTAGTTTGGAATGATGAGATTTTTTCCAAAAAGTCAACAAATTCTTTTTATTATTTTACACATCTTTTAGTTTGTTCGTAAAAAGTTTAAAATATATTGATAAAATCAATTTCCAAACAAACTTTTAGTGTCATATTTTTTCAAAATATCACGTTATTTCCATTCATTTTTAATTTTGATAATTAATCACTTATACTTTGAATCCAATTTCAATGTCACACTTTCATATATCTGGTGTTAATGATACTACGAGATTTGGTATGTGAACCGCATATGACATTTTTCTTACTTCTCTAACACCCCTTCCTCCATTTTTATCAAAATTTATTTTGGTCATCTACTTTTCCACTAAAATTCCACTGTAGTCTCTTTATTTTTAATTATCCTTAAAAAAAGGTCACATTTTACACACAATTTTCCTCAATTTTATTAATGGCAGATAAATAAAAGAATAATAATATAACTAGACTTAATATGTAAGAAATTGACTTTTACAATTGAATGGAAGGACTAAATAGTAAAGTGCAAAGATAATAACTGTTAGTAATATATATTGGATTAGGATTACATTATATAATAGAATTAGGATTACATTATATAGTAGGATTATGATTCTCTTTCTCCTTCTTTACCTATATATATGGGCCTTCATTGTATTGTATGACATACACATAATATTATTCAATATAATTTTCTATTTGTCTAGTTGTGTTAACATGGTATCAGAGCATTGTCAGATCGGAAAACTTTGATAAAATAACCAAATTGAGTTTGAATCATTTTAACAAAATCACAATAAGTTTGAGGTAACTCTGAACGTTGTTTTAAAATATAAATCCAAGTGAATCGAGAATAATCATTCACAAAAATGACAAAGTATCTAGAGCCTTCCATTGTGGTATTGGGAGAAGGTCCTCAAACATCAGAATGAACTAAATCAAATGAAGAGTTTGAAACTGAATCACTTATATTAAAAGACAAAGCTGGCTGTTTAGCAAGTTGACAAGATTGACAATCATTATGATAATTAGAAGAAACAGAACCTAAATTGCCACTAGATACTAAAGTACGTAGCCGACCAAAAGAAACATGCCCTAATCTAGAATGCCAAAGATCAAGAGAGGGAGTGGATGCAACATGCTAAGGAGTAGGTGTAGAAAATGGTAGATGAAGATTGATGAGCTCAAACAGATGTCCAGTTTTACGCCCTATCCCAATAGTCTGTCCTTTCCGCGGATCCTGAACGTGACAACCAGAGGAGGAAAAGCGAACAATTAAACCAAGTTCACAAAGTTGACCAACAAAAATAAGATTTAGGGTGAGGGCAGGAATATGATAAGCATCAGAGAGAGACACAGTGGAGGTAGAGACACTACCAATATGACTAACAGACATGTGAGTGCCATCAGCAGTATGAATAATAGGTAAGGTACTAGAAGAAGTAAAAGAGGAAAAAACAGTGGAATCTGATGTCATATGATTACAACATGCAGAATCAAAGAACCAAGAAGAGCTACCTGGGGTGACGGATAAGGCAGTGTTATGAGAGGTACCAGGATGTGCTTGTTGAAACATGGCCTCCATATCATTCTGAGAATAATATGGAGCAGATGGATCTATAGGAGGAGTGGAATCCTCAGCAGCAGCAGCAGCAGTAGCAGTAGATCGAGAGGTAGGCTTATACCGAGACCCTTGTTTATAGTGACCCCCTCTTGAGTTCCCAGAAGAGAAGTTATTTCGAGATTGTTTCTGAGGACAATGATGCTCCAGGCTATGAGCATCCCCTAGATACTGTTTGTTGCCTTCGTCGTGCTCTCTATGGCCTCAAGCAGGCTCCTTGTGCTTGGTTTTCCAAGTTCAGTACTACCATTACTCAGTTTGGGTTCTCTTCAAGTTCCTATGATTCTGCTTTTTTTATTCGCAAGACACCCCGTGGCATTACTCTTCTATTGCTTTATGTTGATGATATGATTATTACTGGTGATGATCTTGATGGCATTCATGAGCTGAAACATTTTCTCAGCTCTCATTTTGAGATAAAAGATCTGGGTTCTCTTAGTTATTTTCTTGGTCTTGAGATTTCTTCTGCTCCAAGCGGCTTGTATCTCACTCAAGTCAAATATACATCTGATCTTTTATCTCATGCTGGTCTCACGGATAGTAAGACTGCTCCTACCCCGCTTGAGTACAATGCTCGTCTTACCTCTTTAGAGGGCACTCTCCTTTCTGATGCCACTGTATATCGACAATTAGTCTGTAGTCTGGTCTATTTGTCTTTTATTCGACTTGATATCTCTCATGCAGTTCACATTGTCAGTCAGTTTTTGTCTGCTCCATGATCTACTCATTATGCTGCTATTCTTCGTATTCTCCGCTATGTGAAGGGAACTTTGTTTCATGGACTTCATTACTCTGCTCACACTCCGCTAGAGTTATGTGCATATTTTGATGCTGACTGGGTCGGTGATCCCATTGATCGTCGCTGTACTACCAATTATTGTTTCTTTCTTGGAAGTTCGTTGATTTCTTGGCGGAGTAAGAAGCAAACTGTTGTCTCTAGGTCCAGTATTGAGGCGGAATATCGTGCTCTTGCTGACATCACTCAGGAACTTTTATGGCCTCGTTGGTTACTTAAGGACATGGGTGTACTTCATCCCACTGCTACTACTCTTCATTGTGATAATCGTAGTGCTATTCAGATTGCTTACAATGATGTTTTTCATGATCGCACCAAACACATCGAGATTGATTGTCATTTTATTTGTCAGCATGTCAATAGTGGCATTATCCAACTCCAGTCTGTTTCTTCCGCTGCTCAAGTTGCTGATCTGTTTACTAAAACTCATCTTCCTAGTCGTTTTCATGAGTTACTTTCCGAACTCCAATTGGTCTCGTTGAAACCATTTTGAGTTTGAGGGAGACTGTTAGTAATATATATTGGATTAGGATTACATTATATAATAGGATTATGATTACATTATATAGTAGGATTAGGATTCTCTTTCTCCTTCTTTGCCTATATATATGGGCCTTCATTGTATTGTATGACATATGCATAATATTATTCAATATACTTTTCTATTTGTCTAGTTGTGTTAACAATAACTGTCATTAACTCTACAGGTTATTAATTTGAACTAATGTCTCCACAACAAACATTTTTTTTTTAAAACAAACGTGATTTTTCACTTTCTAATGTTTTGTTCAATAAAAAAAGTTAACATATATAAAACATTTTCGTTATCAACCAAAAAAAGGAAAAAAAGAAAAAGATCTGATTTGAATTTCAAATATTTTTCCTTTCTAAAAGCAATATTTATTTATTTAAGATTTAAAGAGAGATCAAATTATTTAAGATTTGGCTCTTCTATTATAATGCACCGTATTCATTATTTTTATTTTGGATTAACTAAATTTTTGGTCACTATAGTATAAGTTTTTATCATTTTGATTTTCAATATTTAAATTATGTTAATTTGATTCACAATAAATAACAGTGTTTAATTTAATTTCTAATGTTTAAATTATGTCAATCTAGTCTCTAATGTATTTTAATTTAGTTCCTGAAGAGCAAATTAATAGAGTTAGATTGGAAGACTAAATTGAAACACTTTTTTATATTTTGGAGATCAGATTGACACAATTGAAATATTGGAGACCAAATTAAACCACTTGTATACATTAGAGATCAAATCGACACAATTTAAACATTGAAAACTAAAATAATACAAAATTCATACTTTAAAGACTAAAAATATAATTAACTCTTTTATTTTTGTATTTTTTACGCGAATTAATCAATAGATGTTACCATACAATGTTTCAAAATAAAATGATAAGAGATGGATGGAGAGATGATTCATCATTGACACATATTTCCAGCTAGATGTTACAGACATTCTCTCCTTTAATACCATACCCATAATCTTATATTTTCAAAATATCATCTTGTCATCAAGAGATGGAAAAAATGGTATGAATACATATAACAAAAATGTCTATGACTCCCTTTTTTCCCCACCCCCTCTCTCTCTCATTGGTTGGATTTTCTTTTTCTTTTTCTTTTTGTTTCCTTTGTCCTCCAATCACCACCTGCCACATGTGTGTGGGGGGTGGTGGGGTGGTGATTGGAGGGGGTCTCCATCACTCCTCTAAATATAATTTTGTTGCCCTTTTTTATACAAAATAATAGATTTCTCATATAGTCATTAATGGGTTCATATTACACAATTTTTATTTTTTTTCACGATATATTTATTATTGTGAGTCATGTCCTCTTTGTGTCGAGTAATAACAGAATCAAATAAAAAGTTTATTTATTAATATGTGATAACAAAAAATTAAGTACAAAATCCATTTTGTATATAAAATTCCAATAAAGATAATTAGTTAATGTATTTTCCTTTATCAATTATTTTAACATATTGAGTTTTTTTTTTCCTTTTTTTATTATTTATAGGTTTGGTATTAAATTTTTAGTAATTTTTTGATTTTTCTAAAAGTTGAAAAAACAATAATATGCTTGAAAAGTTAGTATTTTTTTTTTTTGTGCAAGTAGATAATTGTTTTTTTAATTTTTTTAGTTGATAATAAATATTTTTTGTTTTGATTATTTTGAGTTTTTAACTTTTTATTGACAGTTGGTCATTTGAAGTTTTATTTATTTTTTTGTTTGTTTTGATTTTCAACCTAAAAAACAAAAACAAAAAAAAAAGGGTCATCTGGCAAATTGTTACACGTGGTTTTCATTTAATAAATCTATTCATAGGGCCAATTTCGTAATTTACCCTTGTTTCATAGTTTAGGCATGCAACCTTTTCTCCGCCATAAATTAGAGAGACGCACTCTCTCAATCTATACCCCGTCTTTCCATCTCTCTATCAACTATTTTCAAACCTTTTTTTCATCTCCACATTCTAATTCACATTTAGAGAGAGAGAGGATTTTTTGAGATGAAGGAGGCGACCTATGGAGTCTCTGCTTGCGTGATTGCATCGTTTTTTGTTCTCTCAATCGCTTTGGTATTTTTTGTTTCAGGTAATTTTAGTTCTTTCAAGTTCTTCACTGGTTCGAAATCCGAATTCAAAGTTCCGATTGTGGAGTTGCAGACCAAGCTTACCAGCACTTCCGATGAGTTCCAAGTTCGATCCACCACCACTAATTCATTCAGAAATCGGACTGTTATTGTAAGCATTCATTCTCTCTCTCTGTCTCTCTTTCTCTCTCCGGATTCATCTGATATTACGTACGTTTATGGAGGTACTCAATTAATGTAAATCTATTTTTGTTAATCTGATGTGCGATTGCGGAGTGAGTAATTAATGGCTCAATTGAGAAACTGAAAGCTTTTTTTTTACAATCTCTCTCTCTCTCTCTCTCTCTGTCTATCAGTTTCCGATCAGTTTGAGGTTACGCAGAGACCTACATAAAGCGGCATGTCATTGTAGTAGTCAAATTCTCGCTCTCAGAATCAAATACATACATATATAGAAATACATTCATGTGCACCTTTATATGCGCCGATTTGTATTCATGATTTTTCATTGAAATTTAAAAGTACATGCATATATAATTATAATATATATACGGTTCTGTGTGTGTGTTACAGCAATTTTTGATGAATTGATGTGAAATTGCAGAGAGAGAAAAACGGAGGACTGGAGCGCGGACTAGCACGAGCAAGAGCTTTGATTCGGACGGCGGCCGCTCTGAGTCCAAACATGTCATTGACCCTCCCCGACGGTGATGGTGACGTACACACCGGTGACATTTATCGAAATTACGGCGAATTTTACCAGTAAGCTTTCTTCGATCAATATTAATTTTAGAAATTAATAAGAATATATTGGCTGTGTTTGGTTTATATTTTGAGATAAATTTTTAAATTTTTTTTGAAAAGTTTAGAAATTTTTTTAATTTGTTTGATGGTATATTTTGAAAATAATTTTAGAGTTTGGGATTTTGGAATGATTTGATATTTTATTGTAGTTGAGTAAATGTGTTTGAGAATGAGAGAGGAGAGAGGATAGAGGGGAGAGAGAAAAAGTGATTGATTGATGTATAAGAGAGAAACTAATTTTGAAAAAAAAAATTCAAAAAATTTGAACCAAACAAAATAAATTTTTTTTTTTCAAAAATTATATCTTGATACAAACCAACCAAGCCAATTATATATGTATATATAGAATTGGAAAAACTTTAGTTTAGGCCAAGTTTGGCATCTTTAATAAAAGTTAAAAAGTTAAAAAAATCACTATTTTATTTAAGTCACATCTTCTTATTTAGATCACATCACCTCTCTACCACATCACTTCAAACCCAACCCATATTTCATAAAAAGTCAAAAAGTGCACTTATTTAGAACATCTCAAACAACCTCTTAGCTTTGAATTTAGGGTTGATTTGAAAAGATCTAAATAAGTGCACTTTTTTATTTTTTATGAAATATGAGTTGGATATGAATTGAATTTGAAGTAATGTGTTTAACTTTTTAATTTTTTAAATTATAACAAATAAGTCCTTCACTACTTTCCTTCTAAGGCCAAGTTTGGGAAGTCCCAAATAATTCATCTTTTTATCTTTTTTTCATTACATCACCTCTCTATTTTTCTGCACATTTTTTCGTAAAAAGACAAAAAATACACTTATTTAAGTCATCCCAAACAACCCCTCAGTCAAAATCAGAGTGTCATGCATCTCCTACGTAGAATAGAATCGTATTACACGGACAAAGACTTTGGTCCCCACGAAAAACTTTCCTGCATATTGAATCATTCTGTAATGGCTTGGTTGTCAAAAAAAAATAAAATAAAAAATAAGTAATGCTTGAAATATATCCAATTTTTTTAGTCAAGTTCCAAACAAGTTCTTAATCTTCAAAGTCTTTAATGTGATGGGTCGTTCAACAAAAATGACTACCTCAATTATCAATTGTAAATAAAAACTGAAATAAAGATTATTTAGTGACAAAATTAATAAATCGAGAATTAAATTAATAAATTTAAAATATAAAAATGGCACGGAATATATACTTGGAGAATTGTATCTATTTTAACCCTTGATTTATTTATGTCATCAGTATTTCTAACCATGTAGTTTAATATTTTTGTAAATAGTAAATCATTTATTTGGGGAGTGTGAAGATACCGATCATATCTTTGCTCTTAAAATAAAATATTAGTGCTATATATATCAATTGATATGCTCATTAATATTCTAACATATGTTATGGTATTATTATTTAAAAATTATGACGCTATCTATTATATAAATTATAAAAATTTAAAACTTCTAAAATTATGATCGGTACACCAATAGGACAATAGGTGCATATGACGTAATATTATTCTAAAAAAATTAATGCACAGGGTGGACATCCAGCTGTGGCCCGTGGGACCCACTATGCTGTGTAAGTAACGGTTTGGCTCACAATTGGATTTAAGTTGGACTCAAAATACGAATCTGGACTGTGAATTGTGAAGTTATTTTGTTTCCATATGTCATGTGAGATATTCCATTGTTTATCTCATACAATTAATGTGGTAAATTTTTACAGGAAATTGTTTTATTTACATAAGATTCTTGTAGTGAAATGCATTATTGTTATCTTATTTTTGTTTTAAAATTAGTTAAAATACATATGGGTTTACACAATTAATGCTTGGGATTGATTTTTTTAGTGATTTTTTTTTGTTGATTTTTTTATTTTTAGTGAACATTAAAAAATAAAAAATTTAGATTTTAAGTTTTTAGATTCTACTCGATTGGACAAACAAAAAAAGTAAAAGAACAAATACAAAGCTTACTAAAGAAAAAAAAAGAAGAAGATAAAAATAGTTAATTGTTTTGACTATTTTTTTAATTATTTTTTGAGATTTTTTATTTTGTTTTTTTCCATTTTAGATTCTTCTACTCTAGAAGGATTTGAAAAGTAAAAAAATTTGACACAAATTAATAAAAAATCACTAAAACAAAAACAAAAAATGGGGAAAAAAATGACTTGTTAAACTTGATGCCAAACAATCCCTAACTTTATAATTTAATAAAAAAACTATCTGAATTCAATTAATATTATGTGACAATTTTAACAATCTAACTTCGTTTATAAAGATTTGATGATGAGATTATTTTTAAAAGTGTTCCCAAAAAAATAGTGGAGAAATCAAAAGGCAAAATTTCTACCAATCAAATTTCTCTAATCTATCTAGTTAAACCTTAATTACAAATTTTTTTGACCAAAATAAAATAGCACTGCAAACTCTTTTTAATAGAACCAAAACTTCACTTATGGGGGTCGGGTGGGTGTCGTGCCATATAATATTTGATTTTGAATTCTTATTAGAATTACTTTAATATTAATTCTTTTTTTCTTTTTTTTGTTATCATGCCGTATAATTTTGTGTCCATGTCTAATTCGTATTATATTATTTTAGTGTCATGGGGAAAAAAAAATCATTTTCACTTAAAAATACCATGTATACAGTGATTTTTTTTCACAAATTCAATTGCATAAAACTAATCTTAACTAGAATGAAATTATTGATAAAAATATTTGATTTCAACTCAATTTTATTTTTCTAATTTTTAAAAGTTATACCCTATTATTATGTATTGTTTTCATACTTTTTATTTATTTATTTGTTGGGTGGAATTATATAAGAAATTTAAAATATGATGGCACTGCTTATTTTAAAAAAATTAAAATGCATAATTAATTATTTATTAAACGAATTACCATTTAAATTTTGTATTATGCAGGTTTAATACTAATTTAAATTATTTAATGGTTATGTTATTAACTTGTATCATTTATATTCGTGTTGAAAAATAATCAATCCTAACACAATAACTAAATATACAATTCAAATTATATTATTGTGTAAAAAATTCTCACCCTTAAATCAACACATCAACACATTGGACCATTTTTTTACCCATTCCACACGGACCACACCACTATTTTTCTTTTTCACCCTTTTGTGTCGTTCAAAAGGCTATTCTTGTAGTTGACGTATAAGGCGTGCTAAGTGCGCCACACTCACGGCTACTCAATTCCATTCCTTCTATGAGCACTAAATAGCTTCGGTATGAAATCCGCCATGTTGCTCATAATAATAGAAGGCATCGATTTCTCAGGCAACATAGATAACCCTCCCTTTAATGTGTTGGGAACCTTTTATGTAGAAAGACAAAAACACCCTGATTAACTATTGAAACTTGATTTTCACACCCTGCAAATTTATAGGAGTTATGATACGAGAGTAGAATAAATTGTTTCTCCATTGTAAATATGCTCATCATTTAGTACCACATAAGATTCTCAAACACATTCTCCTGTCTCAAACTATCTATGTCCACACATGAGCTTCTCTGAATCTCATCATGTTATAGAAATGTGGTTAGAGATACGACGACAACGAACCTAGTCTCATTTAGTCTCACATTTTGTTAATTAGTTTTTTTTATATTGCATTTTTCGTTTTCTGTTTTTAATCAAGTATAAGATTGTACATAGATTGTGGCTCACAGAAAAGTTAACTCCGTTACTAATAGTTGCACATTGTATGAATATAATAAGTGGGATCTCCAATTATAATGTGAAGGGCAAATTCTTTCGGTTAGTTATTAATTGGGTTGGGTTAGGCTATTTTTTTTTCTTTGGTTCTGAAATTGCTATGCTACATGGTTAGTTAACTATTCAAACTTGCTCGAAATGGACAATTATTTGTTGTCTAAAAAAAAATCTAATTGTTGCTACAAATTTTTTTTTTAACACTCTGAAGGATTGAATTAGGTTCTATCTGTTGCTGTGTGAGAATTCTGCTATAAAATGCTCCCTCCACTGTGTGAGAATGCCTCTGTTTTGGCTGATTTTTGCTGCAGTGTTACAACCTCTGGGAGTTTTTGGTTATGCTTGTTGTTTTTTCCTCTCCTTTTCTCGTTGTTGGTTTCTCACCAACTGGCGCTTGGGGCTTTTCAGGCCCAAGCTCCTCTTTATTGATGTAAACTTCATTCCTTGAATGTTTTTTCAATAAAGATTTTCTTTGCCGATCAAAAAAAATAATGTGTAACTGTAACATAGTTTTTTACTTGAGAAAAAAACCCAATCCAATACGGTTTCCTCTTAGATTGGATAAGACTCAATATAATAAGGATAGTCATTGCTCCCAAAGTAAGTCAATGTAAAACTCTAAATTAACACAAACGTAAAGTGATATAATCAGCTTATAGTTTAGACCAATTGTTATTAATTTGGAGTGTCAGTTTAGACCAATAGTTATTAATTTGGAGCGTCATCTTATATTAACGAAGACAATATGCTGCAATGTAGATCATTTAAACTGCCAAAAAACCTTATTTATCCTCAGCTTATGTACAAATTTATAGGAGTTACACCGAAATGGAGAAAAGATTCAAGGTGTACGTGTACGAAGAAGGCGAGCTACCCTTAGTCCATGATGGGCCGTGCAAGAACATATACACGACGGAAGGGAGATTCATACACGAGATGGAGCACGGAGGAGGGAGGTTCAGGACGAGGGATGCAAACCGTGCTCACGTTTATTTCATGCCCTTCAGTGTCACCTGGATGGTGAAGTACCTCTACAAGCCTCTCTCTTACAACCTCACTCCACTCAAAAACTTTGTCTCTGATTATGTGAGGGTCATCTCCACCAAGCACCCTTTTTGGAACAGGACTCATGGGGCTGACCACTTCATGCTTTCTTGTCATGATTGGGTAAGTCTTTCACTTTTCACTTTTTTAATTTTGAAATTTTATGAAATTCAGAGTTAGTTGCAATTGATTTGAATGGTGAATTGTTGATTTTGTGGTAATTTCATTAAGAATACATCAATATAAGGAGGGAAATGTTAAAATGTGCATTTGTACATCGGAAAGAAAGAAAGAAAATTTTAAAAAATAATGAAAGAAGGACAGTGCTATTCTAATTTAAAAACTAAACTCAATTTTTAATTCAATAACATGGCAAAAAAACAATTTTCTCACCCATATTTTCTTTAATTATCAATTAATCATTTCACTTAAATATTATTGGGTCTAAAAAATGAGTTTGTATATTATTTTCTGTGAAGGAAATGAAAAGAAAAATCATCAAGTGACTTTACAAGTTATGTTGTGTTTTTGTTTACCATTTTGGTTCTTGAAATAACCAAAATTGTGATATTGCGCATGCTCTGTAATTTGTGTAATTAGAACAGTTTGCAACACATTAGCTTCTATGAAGCACATATTCAAATAGGAAGACGTATCCGTATTTGATATCGATACTTCTTGAATATTTACGGATACGTATCAGATACTTATTAAAAGTATCGGATATTTCTTAATTAATTTTTTATTAATTTTAAAGTATCGGGTACTTAGTTTTGAAGTATCGAATGCTCTAAGTCACATATTATCGGACACATCTTAATTAATTTTGAAATATCAAATGCTTCAAGTCACATATTACTCTTTTTACGAAATTAGAATTGTATCATTTCTTCTATGACATCATAATATAATATAATTGTGAGGATAAATAAAATATTTTTACAATACTTTACTTAGTTCTTTTCATAAATATAACATAGTAAGCTAAAGTAATTGAATTCATTAAATTGACATATCTTCAGTGTATCATGCATGTCCCCTATAACTACATAGAAGTAAGGATTAATAAGATAATATAACAATCGTAAAATTAAATATTAATAAATAAATAAGCAAATAAACTTACATAGAATATTTTTGACTAGTGCAAAAAGAAAAAGCATAGGGTCAAGTTGTGGATTGTTTTGATATTATAATATCAACATAGTAGACTTGATATTGAAATGAAATATTTGCAAGACCTATTGAAAATTTAAAAACTAAACTACCTACAGCCTTAAATTAATACTTAATTCTTAAAGATTAGTATTTTGCATCATAAAGTTACTGTGGTTTCTCAACTTTTTTGAGCTTATGTGTAACTCACTACTAATAATTTATTTATTTTTTATTTTTTCCAAACTTAGCGGTATCCGTATCTTATTTTTTTAAGTTTTGTTGTATCGCCGTATCCGTATCGTATCGTATCGTATCTGTACCTCGTATCCGTATCTGTACTTTCTAGATTAACTTGAAAGAATTTTATTAAATTTATTCACAGTTGATGCCACTAATTTCTGGATGTGATAAGTTTTATACGTACAACTAACATTTTAAAACATGAAAAAAAAAAATGTGACAAATATGATTTTTCTTTTCTTTATATCCTCTCATAAACACTTTGTTATTACCAACCATTGCAGGGGCCTCATGCCTCACAAGGTGACCCAGTCCTCTACAACACATCAATCCGGATCTTATGCAATGCCAACTCCTCCGAAGGTTTCAACCCACAAAAAGATGTCAGCCTCCCTGAAATCCATCTCTACACCGGCGACATCTCCCCCAAACTCCTCTCGCCTCGGCCACCAAACACTTCCCGGCCCTACCTTGCCTTCTTCGCAGGCGGCCTCCACGGCCCCATCCGCCCCATCCTCCTCAACCACTGGAAAAACCGCGACACCGACCTCCCAATCTACGAGTACCTCCCCAAAGGCCTAGATTACTACTCTTTCATGCTTCAATCCAAATACTGTCTATGTCCAAGTGGTCATGAAGTGGCTAGCCCTAGAATTGTGGAGGCCATTTACGCTGAATGCGTCCCTGTGATCTTGTCAGATCACTATGTGTTGCCTTTCAGCGATGTGTTGCGATGGGAGGGGTTTTCGGTGCAGGTTGAGACCGAGAAAATTCCGCAGTTGAAGGAGGTTTTGATGGGTATTTCGGAAGAAAAGTACATGAGGTTGAAAGAAGGTGTGAGAGCTGTGAGGAGGCATTTTGTGTGGAACCAGCCAGCTGAGAGGTTTGATGTGTTTCATATGATATTGCATTCTGTATGGCTTAGGAGAATCAATTTAAGACTTGTATAGATAGACAGATATGCACTGTAATAACAGTGATTACATAGCTTAATTTTTTTTTTAAGGGTTTGATTTAATGGTGGTGCTACATATACCAATTAGTATACTAATAGTAGTTATGATATTAACAATGGTTTATCCCACTAATTTGGGAGCACTAATGAACCACTAATGAGGTGAAAATTCAAAAAAAAAAAATACAAGAGCAAAGCATCTCATCATGTGGGACCCACACCACTTTAGAGCTATTAGGGCTCTTCTTTTTAATAGTCTCACTCATTTTTGTTATGATATTATTGTTGACCCCACTCATTAATAATATTACAAATACTAAATATATCTTAAATTATATCACATTATCAATTAATATATTAATTAATACATTAGTTAATATATATAACATTATTCTTGATTAAACCATATCCGTGGTAGCTATGACCTGACATCATCTTAAATTTTAGAAAAATTATATATAGAAGTTAATTTTTGAGATTCATTTTTAAGATTGATGTATAAAAGAGATAATTGATAGATGAATAGAAAAGATGTGAGAGTTGTCTTAGATAATTATTTTAATAGATTGTTACATCATTAAATTTAAAAAGTACATCTAACTTTTGGCCAAAAATAACATTATTCTAAATTTTAATGGGTAAATTACATAGGTACTTATTGTATTTTGCTCATTTTGATTATTGCACTTTCAATTAACTTAATTTTGATTATTAATTTTGGATTTTTTTGGTTCAATTGATTACACTTTTGACCAAAAATAGTCATTGCCTAAAATTACAATTTTATTTCTAAAAGCATAACTCATAGCGTTTATGTGCATATTTATCATTAAAAAATGGCGAATTACACTAACGGTCTCTATAGTTTGGGACTTGTGCCACTTTGGTCTTTGACTTTTTAATTTTTTTTTGATCAGCGAAAAGAAAAGTTATTGATAAAGAAAACATACAATGTATGATAACGTACATCAATAAATAGGAGGGTGCAAAAAGTATCAAAGTGAAACATTAAGTTCCCAACTAGGTTGGCACCTAGATGCACACCAAATCATTTGCTAGCACCAACTCCACGTTCCAAGTTAGTGAGTAACCAACGTAGAGAACGGAAACAAGAAAAAGGAAAAACACTCGCAGACAGCCATTCCTCTAGAGTAAACCATTCATCTAGCACAAATCACAGACAGCAGCAACTCCCCAAGCCTGCCGCCAGAGCAAAGAAAGAAAGGCAGGCAGCTACCACAGCTACCTATTTATCCACCACCAGACCAGCAATGCATCACAGAATCACTCTTTAATCAACCCAACCACATCAATTGTGACACATTTGACCATAAATTTTAAATTTTGTTTCAAATAAAGACAATTGAAGATATTATTATTCAATTTCAAGAACAAAGTCGTCCATTTGATAAAATATAAACTAATTTGATAAAAATAAATGTCAAAAAAATATTTTAAAATCTTTAAAAATTATTTCTACCCACTAAAGATAAAATTATGTAAAATTGATAAGTCTTTTAGATATATATATATATATATATATTTTACCAAATTAATTTTTATTCTGTGTTTGGATGATGATCATGTAATGAGTGATTATTTTTATTTTCATTAAATCGGTTTCTATTTTTTTAAAAGTTAAATATGGCGACAACTCTGATATTATTATTGAATCAATCTATTAAATCAAAAAATCCAAAACTAAAAACATTTCATATTTAAATATATCGATTATAGATTAAAAGCCTAACAATCACCCATTACATGATTATCATCCAAACACATAATAAAAATTAATTTGGTAAAATAAATAAATAAATAATGTCTAAAAGATTTATCAATTTTACATAGTTTTATTCTTGGTGGGTGGAAATTATTTTTTAAAATTCACAAAAAAAAAATTTGACATTTATTTTTGTCAAATTAATTTATATTTTATGAAATTGACGACTTTGTCCTTGAAATTGAGCAATTATATCTTTAATTGTCCTTATTTAGAATAAGATTCAAAATTCATAGTCAAATATATTATAATTGAAAAGTCAGAGATCAAAGTTATACGAATTCCAAATTACAGGGACTGTTAGTGTAATTTGCCCTAAAAAAAAAGATAACAATTAAATTAAAATCAATTTGACCAAATTAAAATAAAATAATAAATTAAATTGAAATTGAGTCAATTGAAATTATAAAAATTAAAATGATACAAGTACAAAAATATAAAGACAGCGATCATAATTTGTCTAATTTAATATACACCACCCATTTTATTTTCCAATATTTTTTGAGCTATTTTTTCTAATGGTCTTTTTCGAGTACAATATGGATCATTAAATACTCCGATCATAAATTTAGCCTAGTTTACAATATTTTAGAAACATTGAAGAATTCAAATTCATATGGACATTGAACTTCTTTATTTACAAAACAATTAATTAATGGAAAAACAACAAAACTAATGTACAAGTACAACAAGTGTGTGTGTGATTATTATTCATTTACAAAAACTCCATTCTCTTAACTACCTGACATATTTACATGACGATAATCACATCACTTGATTGCAACAAAGTTGTGAGAGAATCGTTCAATCTTGGATTTCAATATATCACTGATGGAGAAACGAGGCCTTTGATGATCAGCTGTGTTCGGCGGCATCAGAGACTTCTCATTCCTGACCGCTAGATCGATCGGTCCCATCTCTCTCCTCATCGACTCGACAAACTCCATGTCTACATCGTTGCCTGAGATGTCTCTGACGTAGAATGCATTCACTGCTTTCCCTCCATGGGTTGCTACGTCTGCTCGGACGACTGCAAGGCCATTCTCACGAAGAACCCTAGTTATATCGGAGAGCAACCCTACCCTTTGTTTTGCAGATAACTCTAATCGAACCCCCTGTGAATAAAAAAAAAAAATAAAAGTGAAAACTTGTTTAGTATTTTGTTCAAGTCCTAATAGTGGTTTTAAATCATAACGATATCAATAATATTGGCCGGTTCGTGTCAAAAATTGAATGTTGAGGTCATAAAATTTTAAACCAATTTTCCTACACTATTTTATAATAGGCCTTTCTATGCCAGTGCATTCCGGCCTGTCATGGTCTAATGTTGTGATTATAGATTGCTACAGCTGTGAAATTCGATCACACCACGATATCAGTGTATTTTCGCACCGCAATATCAGTGTATTCAACTTGGTAGTTTCAAAATTCGTGCCGTATAATGCATAATGACTGGTGTTTTAGAACATTGGTTCTAATAACTAGTGAAAATAGTGTTATTTTGGTTCAAACCCTTTCAATTAATTTGATTTTGACATTTAATTTTAAATTATATTCAATTTGATCTAATTGATAATGTCAATTAAGATTTTTGATTAAAAAAAAAAATGGCTACTGAAATTGTGCAAATTTATGAATGTGTTTCTAAAAGTACAATATATGTCACTTATATGCGCGTTTTCTATCAAAGACAAACGATTGTAATCAATTAGATTAAATTAAAAAAAAAATCATAAATTCATGATAAAAATTAAGTCAATTAAAATTACAAGAATCAAAATGACACAAAAGTCAAAGTATAAGGACTATCAGTATATTTTATCCTAATTGCTATTGATTAAAAAATAAATAAATAACAGCGTTAGACTTAGGGATAGGGGGTTACCTCACAAACCCGGCGTTCTATGGCAGCCTCTAAGCATTTAACAACTCTTTCCTTCTCACCTTCTGTGTTCAATGCGCACCCATCTACGTGCCTTATGAAGTACTCCTGTAACACAATATTCATTCCAAAACAGTTTCGTTATGCAAAATTCTTGAATCCCATGAATGAATTAAATAACGGTGTTGGGTTATGAATTTTTATTTTATCGTAGTATAGTGGTGGTAGTATGTGGAGAACTGAGCAATAAATGTCCATAAAGTGGTGAATTTTTAAAAATAATTAGCCGTCAAAAAAAGAGTTTCACAGGATCTAAAATGTCAAATTGAACTTATGAAACTCCTTTTTACTGGTTTTTTCTATTATACTTTATACGTGTTTCATCAATAAAATTTTCTTTACTGATCCAAAAAAAAAAAATTTGAACTTATGAAGTGGTTGTGAATTGATACGTATTATAAATGGGAAACGCACAAGCTATTTTCAAAACATTTGTCATCTATATTGGCTATATTCAATTGAAGGGTTCAGCCTCTCTAATTGAGGAAAGAACTGGACTCATCAAATTTATTATTGATAATCCGACCTCTTCATTTTTTAAATTATAATGTGAAAATCATTCACAAAAAAGAAATAAATTGATCTAATAATAATAGCTTAGACGTACCTGAAAGGCATAACCATCATGAGAATCCACAGAAGCATGAAAAATGACATACTGCATATCCGTAAGCGTACAAACTGTATCAAACATGAGTCTGGGCCTATCCCTACACTGCACCGTCACAATGGAGTACCCTTTCTCCCTACAACTCTCTATCAACACACTCGCCTTTCCCCCCTCCTCTGATGCCACCTCCATCATCGCCAACGGCCTATCAAAGTCCCGAACCGATAGCATCAGCTGATGCAACCTCCTCTCCACATTCGTCATCGTCCCTCCTCCTCCTCCACTCTTCGCTTCTCGTTGTTGTTGGTTCGTGCAGTTGCCTCCTGCGGTGGCGCTGCTGGTGGTGGCTCGGAGGACTGTGGTGAGGCGGTCTTCGATGGCGGCCAGGCGGTGGTGGTCTTCGATTGGGGTGTCTGTGGATTGGTCGGAGATGTAGGCCACGCAAGCTAGGCGGGCGTTGTGGCTCCAGGCGTGGGCTTCGACCACGTTGCAGTGGAGGTCGGCTAGGGCTGCTGAGATCTCTGAGAAGAGACCCGGTCGGTCTGTTCCTGTCATTTCTATGGTGGTGCGTTCGCTATGTGGTTCGGGTTCGAGGGGCTTGCCGGTGGTGTAGGCCTTTGGTTTTGGAGGGTCTCTTGTTGTTCCTATAGCCTGCATGGCGTTTCACGTTAGAGGTACATTTATACCATAGTTAAAACATAGATAAATTACACTGATTTCTTTAAAGTTGAGAAACAATAGAAGAGTTCTATGATTTTGATATAATTATAGTAGACTTCAATAATATTCTAATAATATATATATTTTTTTATTATTTATCATTATATGTCAAACCATTTGTGTTAGTAATGGACTCTTTAGCCTTATTAAAAAAGGAGAATAGTGTAATTATTCTACAATTGTGAGACTGTTTGGATTTTTTCTAAATTTCAAAAGAGATTAGTACAATTTTATATGTCAAATCATTTGTGTTAGTTATGGACTCTTTAGCCTTATTAAAAAAGGAGAATAGTGTAATTATTCTACAATTGTGAGACTGTTTGGATTTTTTTCTAAATTTCAAAAGAGATTAGTACAATTTATCCTTAAAAAATTAATGTATACAAAGAATAATATCAATAGTAATATTACTCACACACAAATTTCTTATCAGATTTCTGGTCAAATTCCTTATAGAAAATGTTGATAATTTTCATATCACTATATATCAAATCAATAATAATGTGCTTGTGGTATTTCTAAATTAGATACAATGGTGTGCGTTCTAGTGTTTTAGGACCCTCTTCATCCTGTAAGAAAATTTTGTATAAAATATTTAAAAGTATGCATATCTTTTTCTCTGTTTGAGTCTATGAGGAATCAAATTGCATTCAAAAATGTTAAAGGTGCTAAAAATTTTACCAAATATTTGACCAAATATCTCACATTATCCACACCAATGTGAGATATTTGGTCAAATATTTGATAAAATTTTTGGTATTCCTAATATAACTCAATTGCATTACCTGCTGTATATAGTTTATCACTCTTTGGTCGGCAAGCTTGTTCCCATCTGCATCTTTGACGTGAAAAACTGCCATATGCACAGTTTAGCTTGTCAAGAAGCTTGACTCTTGTTTATGGTGCCTCATCATTTCATATTAAAAATGTAAACAGTCATCTAACATTTGATAATACTAAGTAAGATAAAGACTATACCATCCATGAACCATCCGGCGTCAGAGGATATGTAGCCTTTTGAGATGATGAGATTCATATCTGTTAGCACTTGCACCACTTCCAGAAGGAGACCTTGCTTATTTAAACTATCAACCTGCAATCAATCAGCCAACATATTCATTATATATCTTCTTAGCTCTCTCTCTAGATCATGGTTCTAAATATCGGCCGATACGCTACTCAAAAATAGGGCACCACGACGGATACAGGCCGGTGTTGAGATTGAAAATCGCAGAAGTATCGGCTGAGTCCCGGTACGTATCGGCCTGTAACCGAAACACAAACCGTTACATAAGCCGCGACGGGCTGATACTCACCGGTTTGGATCGGTACGAGAAAGAAAATGCTGAAAAACCTTTAAAATGATTTTTAAAATTTCACAGTCACGACATCCGATTCCCGATACGTTCCGATTGATACTACCGATATCGATACTCCGCGATCGATACCGTTACGTTACCCGATACTGCGATTTAAAACCTTGCTCTAGATCTCTCTAGATCGCTCTCTCTCTCATTCACACACTTACCTTCACTACGGTGCAGTCTTCTAAGCTTTCGTTATCGATGCAAACTCTGCAACTGAAAGGAAAAACAAAAGGAAGAGGATGACTTAACCACCAAGTTAAGAAACTTCTATGAGCTATAGAAGCCCACAAATGCTATCTACCGAAAAAAAAAAAAACCTATAAAACTGTTAAGAATTTGAATGTATGGAGCAAATTCAAACTTGATGAGACGTGGGACACATAGAGAATGAATCTCATCAACACATTTCAAATTTTGGATTATTTCTAAATATTTTTTCTGGGTACGTAGCATTAGCAACCAAAGGATGGTGAGAAGGATTGAGGGTTTGAAACGTCACTTACGTTGGGCCGTATATCCTTTCTGAGAGACTATCAAACTCGGGATCAAAGTAAGGCCAACAAACTTTCTTCATGCTGCATAGGCAACAAGACATATAAAAGTCAATAAACATTGGAAGTTTGTTTCTAATCAACGCAACAATTGCCTAGAAAAGTTCTATATTCTTTAACCAGCTGTTGAAGCCATAAGTTCTTCATATAAAAGTCAATAAATATTGGAAGCTGGTTTCTAATCAACACGTCAATTGCTTAGAAAAGTTCTATTCTTTAGCCAGCTGTTGAAGCCATAAGTTCTTTACATTGCAGAAATCAATAATATTACGTGCAAAATAATTAAATAAATTTACATAGAAAATCCAATATATAAAAGATTTTGTATAGAGATGCACGTTCTCTTTCTTATTTTTTTTTTTTTTTTTTTGGGGGGTGTTTTTTGCGCGCGGGGGGTGGGTGGGTGTTATAAAAATGATGTTTGTGAATCATTTTTCAAATTGATTTGATAGGTTAATATACATGTGATCATATACATGAAAATAGTTTCCATGATATTTTAAAGAATTTTCTAAGATTGAGGAAAACTTAGTTAATATTAGGGGCTGTAATGATGAATAAATCAATCAAATGCCTATATTTAGATGAATAGCATGATGATTCCAACCATTTCTTCTTGATAACAAGCCAATATCTTATTGAAGACCTAACAACCACCTTCAAAATGAAGTATGTCTTGAGATTTATCATAGAGAATGTGATTGAAACAGAGATTCAAGGAAAAGAAAGAGAGAGAGCTTACATGTGCAAATGTAGTTATATAAATGTATCAAGAAGAAGAGCTGCAAAAGAGAAACCAAAAGAAAGAGAAAGCTCTCTCACAAATACAAATTGGTGTGAGAAGCCAAGCAAAGATAAGCTCACAACCAACAGAGGAGAGAGAAGTGCAAAGATGATTCTTCAGTTCTCTCTCTCTTTTAGAACAAAGCTCAAGGTAATCAACAACAAATGACAGTTTTTCTAATTAATATGAGAGAGAGAGAGAGAGAGAGAGAATTGCTAAGTTGGGGATTGTCAATGAGAGTGTGGTGGATTAGCTTAAATAGAATGGAAAGGAATGATTGGTAATGATTTGTTCTAGTTGAAAAGTCAGGTTAGGGTGTCAAAGAGGGACAAGTGCACATACAAACATATAATTAGAGAGAGAGAGAGAATCCATGTGAAAGGAAAGTGAGGTTGATTAGGATGATAGAAGAAGGGAAAGAAATGGATGGTAGAGATTGGTTTTTATAGAAAAGAGGTAGGGGTGTTGAAGAGGGACAAGTGCACATACAAACTTATAGAGATATAGATAGATACAAAATAGTCAAAAGAGTATTATCGGCCACGTTTTATATTGATTCATTCAACTCTTTATTTGTTTCTTAGCTAGTCACACATGCATCCCTACCCTATCATTACACAAAAAATTCTCCTATGTTTCTGCCCAACTTCCCGGATATGGTAAGAAACACTCCCATGCAAATATGTTTCCAATCTCTCGCTCTCTCTCTAGAACTTACATATATCACACGTCTCTCTCTCTCATCACTTGATATACGCGGCAAATACAATTCTTAACTTGAGAATTTGATGCATATCGGATACATGCTTGCTATAGAATTTTTGAAATTTCGGAAAAACAAGATAAATGTTAAAACATTAATAGACGTAAGACGACATATCTTTAGAATCATGTGAAATTCGATCAAAATATGAAAAATGACGTGGCCACCAATATTCATTGCTTCGCCATGGCATACGATGAATTTCAAACAATTTTTAATGTTTATGTCTTGCTAGTTTTGAAAATAATTGATTCGCATGTAACTCAATTTAGACGAATCCAATTGAGACTAGATTTTTTTTTTTTTTCATAATATGTATCTTTCATTGTAATTTTTAGATTTGAGCTTAACTCAATTTTTTTCATTTTTGATAATTTTTATAATTCCTTTGATTTAAGATTAATCAGCACATATTGTTTTTTTCAATTTATCTTTTAGTTTAATTAGAACTTCGTTCTATTATAAATAACTGTTGTAAACTTTAGAAAAAATCAATTTATTTTGGAGAATTAGTATTATTACCAAAGAGAATATCTTTTTATCAAATTTGTAGTTGTTGTTTGTGTTCGAATGTTCATCTCATTACCTTCCCTGCATCAATACCTCCACAACAAGAAAAAGCAGATTTCGTGACTAAAAATGGATTTTTCGTCGCTGAAAGTAGCAGAATTGGCGACTAAAATGGAATTAGTTAAACAGTTTAGTAGCCAAATGTAGGGATTTTAGCTATTAAAACTCGGTTTAGTCACCGAATATAGGGGTTTTAGCGACTAAAAAAATTTTAGTAGCCAAAAGAGAAGGTTTTTGGCGACTAAAAACATTTAGTAGCCAAAAGTATAGGTTTTGGCGACTAAAAAATAGTTTGGTCGCCGATTATACGTGTTTTACCGACAAAAATCAATTTCGTAGTCAAAAGTGAAGCTTTTTGGCTACTAAAAAAAATTTAGTAGCTAAAAGTCAAGAATTGCCTACTAAAATGCAGTTTAGTCGCCCAAAGTAGAGGTTTTGGCGACTAAATTTCAGTTTAGTCGCCAAAAGTGGAGGTTTTTCGGCGGGAATGAATTTTTTTTGCGAATAAAATATAATTAGTAGCCAAAACTATACAATTGGCGACTAAAAAATAGATTTAGTTGCCAAAAGTGGTCTAAATTTTTTTTTAGTAAATAATTTATTTTTTACATAAATTATATTGAATAAAAATAATTATTTTTATATATATAGCTAGATATTAATACGGGTCAATATAGTATATAAATAATATATGATGCATATATATTCATGTGATGTTGTAGTGGCATAGTAGAGAGAGTGTGTCGCTAAAGGTTTAAAATGTGGGAGAGGTTAGCGGTTCAAATCTTAGAAAAAGCAAAAAGGTTGGTTTTTTTTTTTTTCCCGGAAGCACCTTTGGCGACTAAAATTTTAGTCGCCAAAAGTGTTTATTTTAGGCGACTAAACGGTTTAGTCGGCGATTCATGGACTATTGGCGACTAAAAGATTAGTCGCTAAATGTGTGATTTTAAAAAGTGTAAATCACTATTGGCGACTAAATCGTTGGTCGCTAAAGAGCTATTTTTTGCCGACTAAAATTCGGCGACCATATATACGCGACAAAATGAGCGACTAAAAAAATTAGTAGCTAAAAGTAAAAACTTGACTTTCTGCGACTAAAAACAGACTTTTGGCGACTAAAAATTTAGTCGCCAAAGGTGCTTTTTCTTGTAGTGCTCTGAGACCAATTACCCTAAGGGGCCTATGGTGGCTGTAGTGCTGTCAAGGAAAAGATAGGGCAAGGGCATTTAAGTAATTCATTTTACATCATGAAGGGCAATAGAGTAATTTACTTATCAAAGTTAACATCGTCAATATTTCTACTTGTTAAATATAATAACTATACATTTTATCTATTATACATACAATATTATATTCATTATCATACTTAGATTTATCTCCTTTTATATAAAGCAATCTTGTATACATTATTACAACATTTAATATAATACAAATTTCTCTTTCTCTCTCTCGTAGATATTCTAATATAGTATCAGAGTTAGGTTAACTACTAAGTAATTTCGCTTCACCGGTGGGCGGCAGCCTTGCCTTGGTTGCCTACCAGACCTCAACCAATTCCGTTGCCATATTTTCCTTTCAGTATCGCTTCGTGGCGATCTCTTCCTCTATCCACTGATTTATTCCTACCCCAAATATCTTTATCATATTTTTTTTACTCACAATCATTTTTCTTCTTTTTTTTTTGTGTGCTTCTGCTCCACCCTGTATTTTCCTCTATTTCAACTTCAAATAGGTTTCTATCTTCAACCCTATTTGAGTTTGAAGAGGGTATTATACCTATATCATGGTGATCATGGTGATATACAATGTAAACCACCTAAGCTATCCCCTCTAGTGCACCACCAAAGTCTCTCTTTCGTGCACCACCCAAGTCATCCCCTAGCGCACAACCCAAGCCGCCCCCTATGGCTCATAATCCAAACCCGTCCCTTTGGCTCATAACCCAAGCCATCTCCTAACGCATTTTCTCATAAGTTGCCCTTTAGCGCACAATGTCATCTGTTACCATCATCATTTAGCACTACGTCATAAGTTACGTGTGTGCCACATTTACTAGTTCAACATCTCTAGTTCTTCTTCAACAGTCCGGTACAACCTTAAACTGTCCCCGATATGAGTTCCGGCCAGTTTCTACAATGGTCTGGCACGACCTTAAACTGTCCCGATATTAGCTTCGATCTCTAATTTATCTCAAGCGCCCCTATGCTCCTATTTGGACTTTGCAATCTATTTGCTTCAGATCTATTCATATTTTATTTTAGTTTTAGTTTTATTTCATATTTTAGTTTTTCTCTCTAAACTCAAGTTGGTATCCCTACTTGAGTTTGAGGGAGGTGTTAAATATAGTAACTATATATTCTGTCTATTATATATACCATATTATATTTATTGCCATACTTTTTCTCTTTCCATATAAAGGAGTCTTCTTTCTTTCTTTCTTTCTTTTTTTTTTTTTTTTTGGGAACAGCAAAAACAGATTTATTGATGATAATCAAGTAACAAATACAATGACATCAAACAATAAAGGACAAAAGGCAATGGTGAGCTTGCACAAACAACAAGGACCAAACAAAGTTAGTGAGAAACCAACACACACACACACACACACACACACAAAAACAACAGATTAATGCCCAGAAATCTGAAAACCACCAAGACTTTGATTCCCTAAACAGAATCTGATATTCCTTAAATTAAATAAGAAGTCCTAAACAGTTAGATGATACTCCTTAAGGACTGGTAACATCCAAAGTGCAACTCTAATCTTGACTAGCTCGCACAACTTAGGCAAATTAGGTGAATAAACATTGAACACACAATCATTTCTATGTTTCCATAAGGACCACAGAACAACGAGTGAAATAGCTCTCCAAATCTTCTTCTCCCTAATGTTGAGCCTAGCGCCATCTCACCAAAGAAGTAAGCTATCTGTGGGGAAGTATTTTGAGAATGACACCACGTGGCCAAGGTGACTTCGAGATGTCGGCCGAGGTACCGCGTGGGCGCGGGTCATGTTTGCCGAGGTGATTGTGGTGTTGCCAAGGTTCAATGCGGTAAAGTCGAAATTCAAGATATTTGGATAGGAGACAGGAGTACTAGATAAAAGAGGACAATTAAGGGTGGTTTGGGATGTTCTAAATAAGTACACTTTTTGGCTTTTATAAAAAAAAAATGTAGAAAAACAGAGAAAGTAGGTAGAAAAATAGAAAGGAGATGTTGATTGATGTGATCCAAATAAGTGAATGTATGCACACAAAAAAAAATACATTTTTTTAGTGCATGCCAAACACCTACTTAGTTTGGATAAGGATAAGGATAATGATAAGGCTCTCGAGAAATTTATCCCTATCTAGCTAAGAGTTAGAGATAAGTATTGTGTTTGAGTCCTATGAAGTGAGATTTCTAGTGGACTAAAGCACTGCTGGCTATAAAAGTGAGGCACCCATGTTGGTCTAGGGTATGCTTTTACTTGTGCATTGAGTACTTGTTTGATATCTTTGAGAGATAAGATTAACTGACTTAATCGTCAGAGTGTTCCCGGGTAGACGAGCCACCATGGTATTCTTGTCTTCTTATTGGCAGGTGCTTGATTGAATCTATTATGCTGCATGCTCTCCAGCTAAATTCCCTATTTAGTTATGAGGTCGGAAATCAACACTCACACTATTAATTGAACTTGGAAAAGCCCCCTAAAAGTCCCACCAACTCAACATAGCAAACCACAATCTCCAAGCAAAAGGGAAAAACCACAATAAATGGTTCACTGATTCATTCTCATACTTACAGAAAATACAAATAGTTGATAAATTACCAGGTAGGACACCAATCCTTTGGAGAAAGACAGAAGTCTTGACTTTATTTTTCCAAGATAACCCATAGGAGAATTGGACTTTGGGAGGAAAATAATTAATCCACACTAGCTTACTGGTTAAAATAGTTGGACTAAAAGAGTCTTCAATACATTTGTAAGCAGAAGATACTGAAAACACACCTGAGTTTGAAGCAACCTAAGATAGTCTATCAAATTGATCAGCATTGATGGTAGAAGCAACCACAAGAAAATTACTGAGCCTAGAAACCTCCCTAAACTCCTAATCATACAACCTTCTTCTAAAGTTGACGATCTAATTGTCTGATCCTTTTT